TGCTACCATCTTGAATCATATACAGTAGAACACACATATAACAAAATGCTAGGGATGGACAATTTTGCTTCTTTATAAAAGGAATTTGTTATATCAAGTTATAAATTCCTAGTAAAGTCACAATTCATTATGAGTGTGTGTGCTATGACTGTGTTTTACTGTATACTAAACAGTTCTGCAAGCCTGGGAGACATAAAACTTAGATGAGCTCACTTTTGATCTCGGTTTAACTTTTTCCAAAGAACTAATACATGTAGTGGAAAAGTGAGCCCATCTAAGTTTTATGGCCCCCAGGCCAGGTCCAGAAAAAGACTCTCAAATGCTGAACTCTGGGTGAGTTCTGTCTTGACTAAGTAAACAGTTCCACAAGAAAATAAAGGCCCAAGATCTAAGAGCCTTATATAAATGTCACTTTTGTATGCTGTATTTTTGCCCTTTCCACATTTTATTATACCCCCCGCTTGAAATTGTACGTCCATCTGGTCATCTAGCTGTACTTCTGTCTGTTACGCTTTGGGGTACCCATCTCTCATCCACTACTCCTCCTATACCACTGAATGAAATTTAATGATACTTTCACAGATTACTTGTTATATAGTGCCATTGTGCACCTCCTATTTTACTTTTTGATCAGACATATCTAGAACAAGGGTTTAGATCAGTGTTTGAAATAACCGTGTGCCCGCCCACCCGAGATGCACAACTTTTGTTACAGGCGAACAGACTTGCATGTATTAACATCCAACTTTATGTGTAAAAATTATCCATTAATCAGAATTTATATCTTTGATAAATCTCTCTCAAATTACTAATAGTATCGGCAGCAAAGTTTAACAAGCAAATGGGCAGAATTCATCAGCGTATAGGTTTGGAATCGAAGATGTGGTGATTTGGCTCCATTCACATTATTGTTAAAACGAATTCATAAAAGACAAATATTTTCTCGGGCTTCTCAATTTTTGGCAGGGATAACAACTTTTACTAGCAGTCAGCCCTGCATGTCTATCTTATTTTACAGTGAGTTTCAAACATTAAATCTCAGAGCCCCCTGGGCAGTGCCACACACATTCTCACCTTAGTTGGGGGTTCCACAGGTATGTGAGCAGGTGTCCCCTCAAACACCTGGGGGTACATACTCATCATCATTCTGGCCGCTTTCCTCCCTGATGCTGTAGAAAGCATCATTTCTGCCTGAAAAGTATAACATCAAATTACTGTATGTGTACTGCTGTTAATTGTTGTATTCAAAATTTAGCCCAATCACTTGGTATTGAGTTGTTGGCACATTCATGGATTAGTGCTACAAACAAACAAACCATTTATTGCATTCACAAATGAAGTATTAGTGGTGTTCATTAGTGCATTGTTGTCCATGCCAAAGTGGCTAAAATATGAGCCCACTATTTTTTTAAGTATACATATGATAATAAACATTAATTACATGTAAATAGTTAATCACAAGTTAAGTATTTTTGATTGAAAGTCCTTCTCATTATGTCTATTATAAGAAACAGTTTGGTTCAAACATAGTAAACAATTGGAGTCACTCATTCTTTTGAGTGCACAACTTATCATTATTACGTAATGTTTGTCCCACTTTATTTGTTCTTCAATCAACTATGCTCCATTTTTAATATGCTAAGATGAAGTTATTATAAACAGAAATTTTTGACAAATACTATATCCTTAAAATATTCATCTATGTATATTTATGAAATATATATTTCCATTTCTAATTTTTTTTTCTCTGTGTTAACTGTTTAAAAGTTGGGGGAATTTATTTCTTGATAATCCTTCCAGAATGTAAATTAGGCAGGTCGATAGGTCAGCAGCTAAGGAGGCCTAATACGCATGCAAATCTCGTGTGCATCTGTCTCTGTGTCTGATGCTAAAGAGGCCAAATATGCATGTAAATCTCATGCGGCTGCCTTTGTGTTTGACGTCAGTGTGCGAGGACTATTGAAACTGGCATGGAAGTCCTCGTGTAATTTAAATCGATTAGTCTACATTTTTAAAGTCTAAATGTAACAATTTATTTCACAATGAAATGGAAATATAAGGAATCACTGTCTAGTTTTGACAAGTATGCCAGGGACATCAGCAATAGTGGGAAATAACAATAGTGCCCATTATGAAAATTATCCCATGTTTCCCCCTATTGTTCATGCCCTGGCATACTCTCAAAACTAGACAGTGATTCCTTAAGTATATGTCTTTTAAGCTATGTTGCATTGCTGTTTATATATAATGTTTATTACAAACAAATTTGGTCATCGTAGAGTTCATGTCTTTTACACATGTCAGTTATATATAAGTACCTTATTAAACTGGCGATGGTAACAGGCTGGGTCATCAATGGAAAACTTCCCATAACTTCGACATTCCTTAAAAGTTAAACATACACATGATACATGTAAAATTAAGAGTTAGTCTTGTAGCCAAACATAAGTCACTAAATATCATTAGATTTTGATATAAAACTTCTTTAAAAAATGAGAAATACATGTATATAAAATGGTTGATATTTCTGTATTTATTTAATTACATACATGGCCAACACTTTCTTCCAGAGCTTCTAACAAAGCTGTTGGGGACCTGAAAAAGAAATGGAAGATGTACAATGCCACGAGTAAGATACTCATACAAGAGGCCCACGGGCCTTATAGGTCACCTGAGTATTGTGCAACAACTTTCAAACAATTAAATTTGGTTCGTGTTTTAAACCAGAGGCCATGACATTCGCAATTCACAATTTTGAAAGAGGCAGTGCCATTGCTTATCATAATTAAAGACTTGGCATGCTTACTCTATTTACTTAATACCCAGAGAAAGATCAGAGTAACATTAAGAGAAAATGCACTTCCTTTTTATAACCAGCTGTACACCTTATCCCAAAGGAACCACTGATCCTGGGGCCAAATATTTCAAAATGTTGCAAATTTTATCATAAAATGGTTGATTAATACCAAAGAGCAGATTTCAAAGCATTAATTTATTTTCAGACTTTGTACACCCCCCCCCCTCTCACCCAATACCGACCGGGGGGGGGGGGGGGGGCATAAAAAATAACCATTTTTGTTAGATGCACCTTTCTTCATCATATATATATATACTTGGATCATTGGCATAAAATTCAGGAGCAAAGGAACGATTTTCAAAGAATTAATGCATATTCACTATATGATCATAGGGCCCCACCCTAACACCAGAACCCCTGACCCTGGGACCATAAAATTCACAATTTTGGAAGAGGTACTCTTGCTCATCATAGCTATGTGCTTGGTTACTTTATTCAATACCCAGGAGTAGAGAAGAAGATTTTCAAAGAATTAATGCATTTTCACTATATAATAAATAGGGCCCCACCCTAACACCAGAACCCTTGACCCTGGGGCCATAAAATTCACAATTTTGAAAAAGGCACTCTTGATCAACATAACTATGTATTAGTTAGTTTATTTAATACCCAGAAGTAGAGAAGAAGATTTTCAAAGAATTAATGCATTTTCACTATATAATAAATAGGGCCCCACCCTAACACCAGAACCCCTGACCCTGGGGCCACAAAATTCACAATTTTGAAAAAGGCACTCTTGATCAACATAACTATGTATTAGTTAGTTTATTTAATACCCAGAAGTAGAGAAGAGGATTTTCAAAGAATAAATGCATTTTCACTATATAACCAATAGAGCCCCGCCCTAACACTTAAGAACCCCTGACCCTGAGGTCATAAAATTCACAATTTTGGTAGAGGCATTCTTGCTCATCATAACAATGTGCTTGGTAAGTTCATTTAATACCCAGAAGTAGAGAAGAAGATTTTCAAAGAATAAAATAATGCATTTTTCACTATATAACCAATAGAGCCCCGCCCTAACACCAAGACCCCTGACCCTGGGGTCATAAAATTCAAAAATTTGGTAGAGGCACTCTTGCTCATCATAACTATGTGCTTGGTTAGTTTATTTAATACCCAGGAGCAGAGAAGAAGATTTTCAAAAGAAAGCATGCATTTTCACTATATATTCTATATAGCCCCGCCCTAGCACTAGAACCCCTGACCCTGGGGCCATGAATTTCACAATTTTGGTAGAGGACTCAATGCTCATTACATTCATGCCAACAGTTTGCCTGCTTGATGTCCAGGAGTAAAGAAGAAGATTTTTAAAGAATGCATGAATTTAGTGGTTTTGGCCCCACCCCTCAGGCCCACAAAGGGGGCGGGGACCATAAAATTCACAATTTTTGTTCCCCTTCACCCATAGATGCTGTATTTTAAATTTGGTTGAAATTGGTTCAGTGGTTTCAGAGAAGAAGCTGAAAATGTTCAAATGTTAACACATGACGCACGACGACGGACGAAAACGGATAGCAAGTTACTCAGGTGACCTAAAAATGCAAAGATTGTAACATATTCACAATAGTCTGAAACTGTGTCAAAATATTGAAAAGTTAGAAGAAAATGGTGATATTTGTAATGATAGCAGTACACCGATACATATTGTGGCTTGAATATAGAGGGCACTAAATGACTTCATGCACGTCCTTACACAGTCAATCAATATGCTAAGTATTCACACTCATTCAGAATACAATTGTAAGAGAACATTTTTAATACAGTCAGTGAATACTGAAATTTAATAATCAGGACACATGAATTGATCACCTCTGTAAATGAGTTTGGTAACAGCAAAATTTGTTTTGTACATCTAAAATGACTGATCGGTTTACAATGTAATTACATGTACCTGTTTATCTTCTTGGGGCCATAGATTTTGGGATATGTGTCTGGAAAAAACAAAACACTCAGGTTTAGGTCAGGTTTAGCTGCAGAACTGTAGCTCTCCAAAAAAATACTAATATTGACAGAACAGAGAGCTACAGTGCCACCCATTGAAAACTGTATATTTATTGCGCACAAAAAAGTGTGCTGTTTCTTGATTTATTCCTCCATGTTTTTAAAAGAATTATGGTTCAAACGGTACCTGGTGAAAACGGCACCTAGTGAAAACGGCACTTGGATTATGCAAAACGGCACTTGGTCAAAACTTAGTCAAAACGGCACTTGGTCAAAATGGCACTTATAGAAAAAAAAGTATAATTATATGCAATGATAATTTGATATATATAGATTGATATATATTTGTGTGAGTATATATATTACATGTATAATTTTTGTTTTCTGGGAGGACCATTTCTTTCCAGAGAAAACAATTAAAATTATGTATACACTGAAATAAGTTTTTATGAAATCTATGTGATATATATAAAATTAAATTATTATGAACCTATGCGCATACACTGTAGTTACATACTTTTCTCCACAGATTCATACATTTAAATACCAAATTTGAAATGATTTTTTTTTAATTTTATTCCTTGAAATATCAGTATCTTCATCTTTTAGTCTCCTACATTTTTAAAATTAATGAAATAACAGCATAGTTTTTAAATATAACGTTATTTTCAAAAAAAACATTAGATTATAAACAATAACATCATCATTTTATCTAAATAAATTATTATTTGTAACAATATCAATATTGTATCATCTTCATATTTAATCAATATTATTTAATAGAAATAAATTAATATTCTTCAGTATATAAAAAAAAACCAACAAACAAACAAATGTTTTTGTTCTTCTATGTACAGGTTTCATATTGTAAAAAAAAAATAATAATCGTAAATGTTGTATGGCTTTAATTTAAAGATTTTATGTACATGCAGTTTAGAGAGGGAAATCTAAGTTTCAATCTCTTTGACATATTGTCAAGAAATACACAATAGTAACTGTATATCATGTATATGATTGCAAATTGACCATCAACAGATTATTGAGGGGGAGGTGTGAAAAAGTCTTTTGTTTCTTATTCTTACAAGTGTATTCTAAGTAAACATACTCTAACTGGCTTCTAATTCATAGAACAGTGACTGGCAACCCCCAAAACAGAGTGGTGCTCTAGTATTTGCAATACTCTATAAATTTTTAAATTTCAAAGGATCATAATAATATAATTTGGATTTGATCTCTTTTGTAGAAAATATTAGACATAATTTAAAGAAGAAGTACATTTATAAAAAATCTAACCACAGTAAAAAATTACAATAATTTTCAAATGATTTTTGGAGATTTGAATTTTGATATGATGAATGAAGAGAAATCCAAATGTCTAGCTGAAATATGTGACATTTTCGATCTGTATAATATTATTAAATCACCAACATGTTTTAAAAAGGGTTGCGAATCATCCCTTGTTGATGTCATATTAACATCTGATCAAACAGTATGTAAAAACACCCTAAATTTTAATACTGGAGTAAGCGATTGTCACAATCTTATTGGAACTTTTATCAAGGCCAGTATCACAAATTCTAAAAATTCTGTCATTTTAACTCGAAGTTTTAAGAGCTTTGATGTACAATCTTATATTTCTGATTTACAAAAAATTGAAACACCCCCAGTAGCAAATGATGCCTCAGAAGTAAATCTAAATTATCAAAATTTTGAAAAGGCATTTGTAAATATTGCAGACAAACATGCACCCTGGAAAAAAAGGCGAAAACATAAAAATAGTGTACCATACATGAACTGTGAATTAAGAAGGGCTATTTATACAAGAGGCCCATGGGCCACATCGCTCA